CCCAATAGGTAGGTTTTTAAAAAATTTTTATTTTAAAGATGTGGGGTACAATTCAGGATTAGGTATACAAATGTTCATTATGCAGGTACCCTTGTTAATAGGTAGTTTTAAAAAGATTTGTAGAAACAAATTTTTAGGAGCACTAAAAGTTAATAATTTATACACACTTGGAAAAAATATTACTAAATTTGGAAAAATTAAGGTGCTTAAACTATTGAGTTTTCAGTTTTCTCATTTGTGAAGAAGAGAGTGAGTTAGGAGATTTGGGAAAGGAATTATTATTTGTTAAGCATCTATTTTGTTCCATAATTATGCCTGTGAGATAGATATTATTATACTGCATTTATAGACGAGAAAACTGAGGAGTGTAGATATTACACAAATTGTCAAAGTCATATAGCTAGAAATACTCAGAATTAGATTGGAAATGCAATTGTTCTGGCTTTGTTCTGCACCACTAACTGTAAAGAGGAATAATTAGCCTCTCTTGCTGGGAAATAAGCCAACTATTTTTCTCTTTGTCCAACCCTGGAGATTGAGCAAAAACAAACATCATAAATTTATATGGCAGAGGAAACATATCCATTAAGAAGGTAGATTTTCCAGAGAAGGGTCCTGCAAATTCTTTATATTTAAAAAGCAGAACAAAATTTTGAAGAAACAAAATTTTACACCTGAACTCTAGATCTTTCTATGTTGTTATCTCGCTTCATGTATTTGAGGTATGAACAATTCTTCTTAGGAATATAATATTAATTTTGCTGACTAACAGTGAACCACAACTGTCAGCCAAAATCAGAACCATGGTTCACTCTTCTTCTCTTCCTTGATTTAGTAAGAGAGGCAACTAGAAATTCCCAGGTGCTCATTCTGTCTGGTAAATGTCTCATTTTGTAACATCCAGGAAGGACTTCTGAAGTTATATACAACATGAGAGTTACCCACAGCAATTATTTTCCTTGTGCAAGAATTAAAACTGATAGAAAAACAAAGCCACTAGTCATATTTTATCATAGATCTTGTCATACCTTTAGGAATTGAAGGATTATGTGAATGTGTCACACCCAGAAGCAAGCAGGTAAGTCTTGTAGAAAGAAAGACAATAATTACACATTAAAAATTGTCTGGATTGGAGCAGTAACCTAGAGTGGATTTTAGGTGAGAAGTTGCTCAATTCCAAGTGATTTTATGTATGAGAGAGTTTCAGATGGGTAACAGGGTGAAAATAGTATTTAGGGATTAGTATGAAGACACTATAAGATATATCCCTAGAAGACATACAGTTGGCTAATTTCCCCCACATATATTATTCTTTGAGTTTGCTAGTAGCAGGATCAACTAGTAATTGTAGGAACGATGAACAGTAGTTATCACTGAGGTTCTTGTGTAGATGACTCTTTGGGTTTATACTGCTCTCTATTTTCTCTATAGAACAACCTTCATAGAATGGGCATGATCATTAGAATTGCAAGGATATTACATAGCACATCTTATTCTATGTTTATAAACTAACTAAACTTTCAAGTTTTTCTTTGGGAGAAAACAAAGATTGTGACAATGATTTCTTTAAAAAAGTAGCCAGTAATGTTTATTTCTTTACAAAACATAACATCTCACCCATCCAGAGGGCATTTAATGTTCTTTAATTTATTATTATCAGGCATTATTCAGTAAGAATTTGGGAACTGATATGACAAATAAGGGATCATTGAAAACACTGTTATTTAGACTCAAATATTTATGGTGACTTGGTTTCCTCTCCAGTGCTTCCCTGGGATTAGTGTACAATCTGTAAGTACAAAAACAATACCATTAAAGACAACAAAGAGAGACCACAGCAGTTTAATGATTGTATAAAAATTAGAGGTTTTTTTTATTTTTTACTTTTCTATTGCTGAAAAAATTGTCAGCAAACGTATCTCTTTGAACCTACCCTATATTTCTCCATAACTTTCTGTCTCTTTCTTGCTCTCCTTTATATCAATATGCAATAATAAAATATATATTAATCTAAGTGATATTTATATAGAGAGACATCAAAAATATAGAAAGACCTAGGTTAAATATAGTATACTAATAGCATATTGGCATACACTAATTTATACAAGTACATGCCAATATAAGCACATGTAATATATTAATCCAATTGCACTGTGTGTGTATATATGCAATTTGATTAGTCTTCTTCCTTTCCATTGCTTGTTTTCCCTAAGAATAGGCATTTTATATGAAATTGCTCTTTTAATACTAGAGAGACAGCAGGACTCATGTAACCTGGGTCATGTGCCTGTTTAAATACCTGCTATCTGCTAGAATCCTAGGAACTGGGAAAAGAAGAGAAGCATTGTCCTTGCCCTCCCAGAACTTGCAGTGAAGTTGGAACAGACAGACACAAAGAAAATGACCACATGTACATAGGCTCTAAAAACTCTGTGGTTACCCTGATGAAAAAATATTGTGAAGGAAAATTACAAAGTGCTATGAGAGAGTATAAAAGGGGCTTAATTTGGTAGGAGTGTCAAAAAGGTTTCCTCAAGGAAGCATTCTGTAAGCAATTCCCAAAGGAAGAAATGATGGGAGTTAGCCAAGTGACAGGGAGGGATAAGTGTATAGTTTGAGAGGATGGCATGTGCCAAAACCCTGGTTAGAATACCTGTAGGTAAGAAGAGAAAAAGAGGATAGAAAGTTAAAGTTTAATCAAAACCTACCATGCGCCAGGTTATTGATTTTTACCTACTATGTGGCAGCCTGAGAACCAGAAGAACTTATTAATTCATTAAGTCATTCTGTGCCATGCATTGAGGATGCGGAGATGGGTGAAATATGATTGATGCTCTGGGAGAGCTCTTAGTAGAGTAGGATGAAGAAACCCATAAAATAACAGCAATGCAATGTATTTGTTGGAATTCAGATATCTAGAAGATGTTATGAAATATCAAAACGGAAACCACTAGCTCTGCTGGGTGTGCCAAAGAAACTTCATGAAGGAGGAAACTTCATTGCTTGAGCTGAGTTCTGAAGGATGAATAAGCTTCCTTCTATAGGCATGAAAGAGACAAGTTCCTTCCAGGTAGAAGCTCCAGTAAATGGAAACACATGAGCCCAGGGAAGAATAGGCACAGTAGAGAACTAAACGCCTGGTTCAGTGAAGTGAGGGTGGGGGGGCGAGGTTTACGTTGTGATCAGGAGTGAGATGAGAGGGAACCTCACTTGCCAAGCTTAGTAAATTTTGTTTCATGTTGAGGAAGCAGGAAGCCAGTGAAGGATTTAAGACAGGGAAGTCTTATCTTGTGTGTGCTTTCTAGAGAACCCTGGGCTACTGGTGCTAAGAAGAAGTAACTGGAAGGGGACTGAGCTTGGAGAAATGCTGGAACAAAGCTGTGGATTTGGGAAATGAGGAACCTCTCTGCCAGCCGGAGAGGAGCAGAGTTAATTTTGTAATAACATGGAATTAGAGGTAAAGAAAATGTATTGTAACAGTTTAAGGATGAAGCAACATGAGTTAAGTTTAGAGATCTTTTATTTTTTCAAATAACAAAACAAATACTATAAACCAATGAGGTACACAGTAAAAACGTACGATTTTAATATAGCGAATGCAATACATATATAATTCCTTATAACAAAATGGTCAAGATTTTAAAAGGATATACCAGAGACATATAAAAATGTTAGCAATATTGGATATTTTTTGAAGACTAAATGATGAATTTATATTCAAATTGTTTGAATATGCTTTCAAAACTTTCAGAGTACAGATCATTATTGTCTGTTTTTATTTAAAAGAATACATTTATATATAAATTAGAAGTCAGAAATTTACTTGTTTCTTTGCTTCTTCATTTATCAAAAAAATATATATTTAGTGACCAGAGTTATAGTACTCCTTATAAAATAGTTAATAAATAGCACATAAAATCAAAGTGTAATGAGTAAATAATGACATTATGCCATACTAAGAAGACATCAAATGTCTAAAATTACAGGAAAAGAATATATTAGTCCTTATAGAATGTAAACTTTTAGAAATTCTAAATAAGGAAATATATTCTACACAGGTAATACATGATATACCCAGCTTTCTAATGCAACACCACTTAAATAGCATCCCAAGATCAAGAGTAAAAACATTCTGTCACACATTCCCCCAGAAACAACGTGAAGAGATTTCCTATTCCATGGACAGAGTGAATGTATTCCCCCTCAAAAGCATTCTAATGACATACCATGTCTATATTAAAGTCATGGCCTTTCCAAAAACACTGTAAGGAATATATCCTACAAACACAACAGTTTCCTTCTATTCAAGAGTAACAACCTGTGAGTCTGGGTTCACAAGATAGTCAGTTGCCAAAGAGTCCAATAATGTAGTAGATACAAGAACAGCAAATAGCAGGATATACGATGCCAAAGCCTTCATAAACTGAGCTGACACCGGGAACAAACATAGGTTTCACCCACCCTCTTCAGTGGAGAATCCAAGAAGAAATCTGACTACTGGGGGGAAAAAAATCAGTTTTTCCTTCTAGCCTTCACTGAGTGCAGAGACGGCCAGAAAACTGCTCTGCTGGAGACTAGGCAGTTTCTACAACGCATGGTCCTTCCTCTTCATTCGTTTTTCCTTTTCCCCGCTGTGGAGAAAATAATTATATCAGTTTAACCAATTTCCCACTCCTGTCTACTCCACTCTGTTGTCAAAACACAGTATCTAAGATCTTTGTTGAAAGCAAAAATAAAACTCATTAAAAGCCAAAGGTAGCCAAAGAACACATCCCAGGAAGGAGCTTGGCATGTCTGCTCAGATAGCTCCGTGTGCCATTGGCGATCTAGATTTTCCCAGGACATTCAAGACACGTCTCCCTTTTCTCCTTAACAGCCCTGTAATTCTCAGCCTGGTCTGGAATGTGGTACCCAAATCCCACCGCAAGAAGAAGTCCCACTGAAGTCCATGCTCCCCCCAGAAGAGATTAGGAAACCACGAGGATCAGAGTGCCAAGTACCTGTCCAGAATCCTCTGGAGGACTTTCTTGATCAAAGGGGCTTCTGGGTCCAGACAGACTTCCCTCCCGTTCTTCAGGGAGGCTCTGCAGAAAGAGAGGATGCACTCATGAGCAACAGGGACTGAAGACCCGAGCTGGGCTCACTCCTCCTGCTAAGACCACAGCGGACACGCAGCCCCGGGACTTACACCACTTCCACCTTGGCGCAGTGCGGGCCCGCGTCGATCACCTGCACACTACTGACCATTTTCGGGTGAATTCCTGGGGTGGTGCGTAAACAAACGCAACGCAGCTCTCGCACCACCGCGGCGCCCGGACCCGCTGAGGAAGAGAGAGACACCGGGTCAGGGCAGGTGCTGGAAGCGCCCTTCCCACACCGCGGGCAGGGGTACTGGGGCGCCCTGTATGCTATCCCCCGCGCTGCGCTCTCACCGTTGGCGAAGGGCCCCGGAGGCGCCAGCAGCAGCAGCGCGAGCAGCGCGCACAGGGAGCCCTGGGGTCCGGGGACTCGGGCCGAGCGGCGGGGCGACAGGCTCATCGCGGCGGAGAGAGTGTAGCGAGGGACGCGAGTTCTAGAGACAGGGGCGGCGCGGAGGTTGGAGGCTCCAGAGTGCTGTGGCTGCCTCGCGCCCTCTGCACGCCTTTTATCCGCGCTCGCCGGTCCCCCAGGCAGGAAACCCGCTCTTTGAGATGCGCGGGAATTTCCCTGGACTTGGGGTGAGAGAGATTGGTGGAGGGGGCTGGGGGGGAGGGTGCGGGGAGGAGCTGCCTGCCTGCGCTCCGCGGAGGATGCTGTGCCCCGCCCCGCGGTGGAGCCAGGGGCTGCTCTGGCCAGAGACGAGCGGCAATTTGGAGAGGACCTCATCCCTGGGTCAGCCAGGGCTGGAAGGTCGGCTTCTGGGGGGTCGAGGGAGGCCCCTCTGAATGATGGTTCTCCTCTCCATCTAGAGAGAAAGACTGGAACCAAAGTGGCGGCTGGATCTTTGACTTGAGAAAAATTTCAGCACATCCTAACCCTTTCTTCTCCTCTCCTCCCCCCTCGTTATTCAGGGAATGTCATCCTTGATTAGAATTGTGCTAAACGGAAAGACCGTCCTCTCCTCCTTGCAAGTAGATCGTTTTAGGTTCCTCAAATTACCTTTTGATCCTCTGAACTTCAGCCAGTCAAGACCATGTGATGAAATGTCTCCATTTCCACTTGAAGACACTGGCCTGAATGGGTCCCAAAATCAAGTCTGCTTACTGGAAATTCTATATTAGTAGTTTAGCAAGCATATGTGTATTGAGGTGATTTAGCAAACAAAAATCTTCAGTAACCATTCAGTGAATTGTAATGGGACACAATACCTATTTTTTAGCAGTTCAATACACTATTGAATTAGAAGACATTTTGGTCTTCCTTGACGGTGAGGTGGGGTAGGGTGAGTGCCGACTAAATCCTGACAGAGATACCAAGCCTGCCCCAGAGCTAGCTCCTCATCCAGGTGTATATTTGCCATGATTTGAAGACATTGTGGGAGTCCGATGAGTTTGAGGAGCTCATTTTGAAGGTTAGTCAAGGAGGTTGAATCAATTTGGCAGCAAAACAGTACTCACTCTGGCTTCTTCCAAGCAGTGTCATGAGGGCAAGGGTTTGCCCCCACCCCACAATCTTTTGTGCTCCCCACAAACTTCTGGAACTGTCCACCTTCATAATTAAAGATGACCAAATCTGTTTTCACAGGCCTGCTGTAGTCCCCTGTGAGCTCAGAGCTGCCCCATGAGATGGAAGGGTGAGGTATCTTTCTGCTTCCTCTCCCCTCTCTCCTTTCTCTCTTTTCTGTGATAGTAGAACACTGACGTTGCAATGGCCAGGTCTTCCACAAGTCTAACTCCATGGTATGGCTATAGAAACATAGGTTTTCTTTCTTGAAGTCTAACTAGATCCTTTTCTAGATTATTCTCAAGATCCTTGTCCTCAGGGTAGAGTACCAGAGGCAATCTGTTAACATGAGAGCATTGAGAAACCAGTCATGGAAGAACATCTTTTCCTTGTCCCCTGTGACACTGGGAAATTTTATTAACTCCCCCACCCATCACCTCCACTGGTGAGCAAGAAAGAGGTGTCATAGACCTTTAGAACTTTTATTCTGGAAGGAAACTTAAATTATCTGGCTGAGGAGGGTTGGGAAGTTCTGCCCTCTCTTTGTGGGAAGCTAAATGAGAAGTTCTCACAGCTTCCTGATACCATCAGCATCATCCCTGACTCAGCAAATGTAATCCCGGTGAGTGAAACAGGACTTATTATATTGACTTTTTAGAGATTTGAATGTATCTAAAGACAAAAAATATGCTATCCTGAAGTGGCTAAGAGTACATTTCAAAATGTGACTAAAGATCTTGAGCAATTAAGTTCAACTTAACCACAGGGAATAGACCACAGTTTAATAGGACTTAGTACAATAAAAGGTTTAGTGACACACGTTATTGACGTTTAAACTCTCTGTGTGTGTGCTTAGGATAGCTCCAAATAGCTATTTTTAATATAAGTGAACATGTGAATTATTTTTTGGTTCTAACAGGTAAGATCAGAGAAGGGTCATGAGATTGGCAATTTTTTCTGACTGTTTTATAGATGTATGTGCCTTACCGGTTTGTGACTCTGAATTAACTCACAATGTATTAGTTACAGAATATAAGGAGAAAAAAATTTTCTGTTGTAGACAAGCAGGTAATAGAAAGTCTCCACTAGAAGTGGGTTGCTGGGTTGCCCAACCAAAGGAAGCAATGTGTAACTCGACCTGGCTTCTCATTGAGATCATTCTGGTTCACTGCCCTTGTCTGGTTCCTGTCTAGGCAACTCTGATGTTGGTTTTGTCCAAAGACAGGTAGGAACATGGTGGGGAGGTCCAAAGATCCCCTGAGGTTGAGAAGGACAGTACCAAACCACTGGAGTCAGGACACTGAAAAAGTAATTGCCTCTTTATCACTGGTTTAAAGGAAAGTCATTTGACTTACCTGCACTGTGTCCAGGTGGCAGAGAGAGCTATTTTTGTTCCCAACCATCATAAAACCATCCATCAAATGGCACCAGCATCCTGATAGCCTGAAAGATTTACTATCTGTCAAAAGCAATCCAATTCTAGTCATCATACCACAGAATAATGTAATATGACTGAAAACATTTTGAATGGTTTGTGGCTTCCAAAACACTTTTATGCTTATAATTTCTTGAACTTCACATTGATTCCTTGATGCAGATAAGAGAAACTCGTCCCCATTTTTCAGCTAGGGAAAGTAAGGCCAGAGAACAAGTAGTAGAAAATTCAAGATTGGAAGTGGAGCACTAGAAAATCTGCCCCCCAAATTTCAGTGGTTTCCAGATTACAAACCACTTTCTTCCCAGTCATTGGCAACCCCACTGCGGCTCTCCACAATCTGGCTAACCATTTGGTTGTATTGCCCAACACCTACATCATAAGCTTGGAAATCCTCAGTCTCTGCACTTCAGGCTTTGAGGCCACAATAATTCAAAGACCCAACAGACTTTTAGGTTACCCAACCTGAAACTTTCCTCTACTCTCTAAATCCCTCACTTTCTTCAAGGATGATTCAAAATCCTGTCTTCTCTGAGCATGCTTATTCTGATAAAGCCATTTGAAACGTATGGTTTCCACCCTTGGCCTTTGAACATCTAATGTGCTTACAATAACCACCTCATGAGGCAGAGCTTAATTACTCCTTCATTTTGCTTTCATCTGCTTCAGGTCAACTATAAACTCTTTAAAATCTGTGGTATGTCTTACACTTCTCATACAACCTCCCATAAATCTTTAGTTCAGTAGCAAACAGTCTAGGAACACTTGATAATGGATAAAGATAACTATTTATTTTACAGTGGTCTATGCCTTACAAGCACATCTTTAGGAAGGATAAAGATAAAAGGATAAGGTAGTTAATGGTCATTAACTTCTCTTTTGTTTTTAACTCCATTATTTTGAACTGACTTTTCCCAGTGTTGGAAATTGTTTCTTGATTATTATTAGAGAAAGTTAAAATGATATTGTCAGTCTTTGGAATCTGATCTGTTCAAAAGAATGTTCAGAACCTGGTAGGACATTTGATATTAAAAGAAGGAAAATTATACATCTAAAATATTGACCAAATTACATAGTTTATGTTACTTAGAGATTGTCAAAGATAAATGACAAGGGGAAATTCTGGTTTATTTATATTGCTTTGATTACTTACAATGTGGCAATGTCATTCTAAATTTATCTTTTCCATCAAATTGAAAAGACCTTTAATTATATGATTTAGTATATAGACCTTTACAATAATGTTTTTAAGATTCTACTTTTTATAATATCCACTGCTCTCATATTAGCTTTCAGAAATACTATACTGTTGCATTAGTTAAGACTGTGGACACATCAGTATCAGGTTAAGCATATCAAGTATGTCAACATAAAAAAGACAATAAGGGCTTAACTGGAGGATAGAGTTACTTGCTTGTGTGCAAAAAGGAAAAGTCAGTAACTCTTGGGTTTAACTTGCAGTGTCAGTGCAGTCTGTCTGCCTCCTTCCTCATAATGTTAGCAGTTCAAGGAAGAAGCAGAATCATTCAGGAAATAACTGTTTCAAAGGTGCTTCAGCTTTTCTACTGTGAAATGCCAAGAATAATGTCCTTCCTTTTGCCAATTATGCAGTTTTCCTTGCTGCCCATTTCAGGTTAAATCTGCTTCAGAGAGGAGTAAATCAAGGAATCTTGAGTGAGTCCATAGTGAGCCAGATCCCAATAATAATATCTGGAATTTGTTGCCACCTCTTGGGTGTAGGGAGTAGTTAATTATCTTTTGTCCAGTTGTGCAAACTTAAAAAAGTTTTTGTTGACAAGTGATAATTCATAGAGAAACAAAGGTGAAGATTAACGTTTTGAGTGTTTCCAATGCCTTTGGGATTCTCAGAAATAGGAAGCATTTATTGCTTTCCTCAGAAATTTTGTCTGGGCTAAGCAAAAAAAGAAAAAAGGAAAAAAAATCCTTGTAATGTTAATTATTTTAAATAACTTTGAGAAGTCATTTCTATTATACTGTCCTATATAAAAATTAGATTTCTAATTTTATGCTTAATAATGTCTGTTTGTTGCATTGTTTCTCATCATCATTAACTTCAAAACCTGTGGGCTATTAGCAGAATATTTACTTCTGCATAACCTCACAATATATCTCATTCTCATATAAAATATAGTAGAACCTTATCATTGCTGCTTTAATGTGAATAATTGTGATGTTTTTATATGGGTGTGATTTTATATACTTGCTAGACAGTCAAAATCATCTGGTTTTTCTTCTTGTCATCACCTGAAAAATAGTGAAGACCTAACATTTGACAAGTATCCAGGACAATGTTCATAAAACTTAAAGAACACCAACACACACACACATACACACACACACACACACACACACACATACACACACACACACACCACCACCACCACCAGCACCACCAGCACATTAAAAACAAACAAAAATTAAAATCAAAAAATAAGAACAG